TGTTACAGGGACACAGCCACATCAATGTTTATAGCAGCACAATTCACAATAGCTAAGTTGTTGAACCAACCTAGATGCCCTTCAGTAGATGAAAGGATAGGAAAACCTTGGTATATATACACAATGGAACATTACTCAGCATTAGAAGAGAATAAAATCATGGCATTTGCAGGTAAATGGATGGAGTTGGAGAATATAATGCTAAGTAAACCAATCCCCAAAAAAACAAAGATCAAATGTTTTCTTTGAGATGAGGATGCTGACTCATAATGTTGATGGTAGGGAGCATGAGAGGAATGGAGGAACTTTAGATAGGGCAAAGGGGAGGGAGAAGGCAGGAGGGGGTAAGGGGATAGGAAAGAAGTGGAATGAGTTAGACATCATTACCCTAAGTATATGTATGAAGACACGAATGGTGTGAAAATATTTTGTGTACAATCAGTGACTTGAAAAATTGTGCTTTATATGTGTAATATGAAATGCATTGCATTCTGTCATGGTATTTAACAAACTAGAATAAATAAATAATTTAATAAAAATAATTAAATGAAAATTTAAAAAAATTTGGTACTGGTGATTGAATACAGGGGCAGGCACCATACCACTGAGCTACATGCTGTCGTCATCATCATTTATTGATTGGGTTATTTGTTTGTTTGTTTGTTTTGATATCAAGATTCAAAATAATTTTTTTTACAGTGGCTTTTGCCAGGCTTGGTGACGCACGCCTGTAATCCCAGCAGCTCGGAAGCTGAGATAGACAGGAAAATCATGAGTTCAAAGCCAGCCTCAGCAAAAGCGAGGCGCTAAACAACTCAGTGAGACCCTGTCTCTAAATTTAAAGAAAAATACAAAATAGGGATAATAATAATAACAATAATTATTATTATTATTATTATTAATGTTTTAATTTGAGATAGGGCCTCCCTAAATTGCCAACACTGGCTTCAAACTTGCTGTCCTCCCGTTTCAGCCTCCGGAGTCACCTCTGCACCCTTCAAAAA